GCAAAATGACAAAATTCTCCTCTAATTGTTAACATAATATCCTCCATTTTTTCTCATTTCATTCTCTTCCACCTTAAAACCCTAGTTTCTATTTTTTTAAAATAATGTCTTCTTCTTCTTCCCCTTTTCATCTTCTTCAATTTTAGGTTCTCAAAATCACAATCGCCCATTTTCTGCTCTTCAGTCATCATTCTTGCTAACATAAAATCATGTTATTTATTATATTATTCACTTATTTTTGGTATCTTTTGAGTATTTGAACAAGAGTTTGGTTGGCATATCATTTATATCGAAAAATCACATTTACATTTGAAGAAAGAAAGAAGACACTATTAGAAATCTCATGTTGTTTTCGTATTTTTTTTTTTTTTGTATTATCTGCAACCATAGGATGATAATGGCACAACAATTGTTATTTGAAATGAGAACACAACTCGACCCTTTATTTGCTACGTAAAACGACGCTACGACCATTATCTGTTGTAATTTGATTTTTTCAATAAAGTGATCTCTAATAATGGACTCACTAACATATATAACACTGAAAGATTGACTATATCACAAAGAATGGTTGAAATGACATAACTTTTATATTATTGAGATGGTGAAAGCACAAGTCATCCTTATCATATATATCAATTAAGTTAATGAACATATCTCCCAACTTTTATACGTATCATGTGCATATTACAACAAAAAAAAGTTCCACTTATTATTTTTCAGTGCACGAATGGGTCGTGTCTGCTTATACTCATTTTTATACACGTAACAACATTAGAGTCGTTATGATGTCCAATAATAACATGTGTGTCATTTCGAAATTTTCACCTATAATTTTATTTTTTTCAACAAAACAACCTCTAATAATAGATTCATTAACGTATGCAACATAGAAAGTTTGACAATGTCATAAATAACATAAATGAGTTTATTAGTTCTCAGGGCATGAACAAGACGCGAGTGCTTAAATACACACATATTGGCACAAGGGTTGTTTTCATTTCAATAATGGTACTTATACTGTTCTATTGATTTTTCGTACATTTTTTTAATGCAACGACATTCAACAACAGACTCCTTAACGTATGTAAAATATAAAGGTTGACCGTTGACAAAAAAGATACAAATAACATTATATGTTATCGAATTGGTGAAAGCTCCTACTAATTCATGTCAATTAAGTTAATAAACAAATCTCTCAACTTTGTACATATCATGTGCATAGTACAGTGTAAATAAAATGTACTTTTTATATCTCGAGGCACGAATGGACCATTACTGAGATGAAAATGTCCATGAGAACGACACAAGTGTTGTTACTAAAATAAAATTTTTAACACAAACATGTTTCACTATCGGAGGATTGTAGTTCCTGAACAAACAAATGGGAGAGCTCAATTCAATCTAATATTTTAGCACCAATATGTTCCACTTATTTCTTGTATGTCATTTTCAATATAAACTTTTTTATCGTGATTATTTTGTAGATTTGATTGTGGGTTCTTCACAGTGAAGTACATAAAATATTTACAAGCTTAATTCAATATACATTTAATTTGTCTAGAATACATGTCCACTTGGAAGAACTTAGTTGAGGAGATATTTGTATGGCACTTTGATCCGTGGATTTAATTAAATTTTTAAAGTTACTTTTTGTCCTTACTTTTCAAGAGATTGATTTTTTAGTTGTACATGTTCGATTTAAGTTAAATGTTATATGTGTAGTTATAGTGTTGATGCCTTTTAAGTTAAATATTTGTGTTTCAGTTGTACATTTCTTTTCAGTTTGTTGTCATCCCATGATAACGGCACATGTGACGTTATTAGAAATATAACTGTCCAAGAAAATGGCACGGGTGCTGTTACTGAACTTATAAGGGGGATATGGGAACGACTCAAGTGTAGTTATGTTTGTTACAAGCTTTCATGAGAGTGGAACAAATGTCGTTACCGTAATGAAAACGTTTATGAAAACGACATGAATGTTGTTGTGTTTGTAAATATAAGTGTCCATCATAAAGAACATGTGTCGTTACTCGGACAAAAACATCTATGAGAATGGGAACGAGTGTCATTACTGACATATAATTAGTCATGCTCCATCCGTATCCCTATAATGATAAAAGAGAAATATATAAGAATGGATTGTGCTTTCACCAACTCAATATCATCTAATATATGTCATTTGAACCATTCTTTGTCACGTAATTAACATTTGTCATATATAATTTATCAAAAAATACAAGAAATCAATAGAACGGCACAGGTGCCGTTACTGAAAAGAAAAAAGCCCTTGTGTCGTTTTATTTATAAATATGATTATAAGTAGTCATGCCCATTGTGCCCCGAGAAACAATAAATTAAACGCATATAAATTGTAAGAAGGACAATACATTTACAAAAGTTGAGAGGTATGCTCATTACTTATATTTTAATAAAAGCAATATAACAACTTCTTCTTTCATCAACTTTATCATATAATTTATGTCATTTCACCCGTTCTTTTGTCACGTGATCAACATTTATGCCTTATGTACTTTGGTGTCCAATGCTTGAGGTCGTTGCATTGAAAATAATCAAAATATAGAAGAAATCAATAGAACTATACAAGTTTCTGAGAAGAAAAAGTCATCTGTGTCGTTCTATTTTTAAACACGATTATAATTAGTCATGTCGTATTTGTACCTCAAGAAACAATAAGTTAAACTAATTTAAGTTATAAGATGGACATGACATTTACATACGTTAGGGGTCCAGTGTTTAAGATCGCTGCGTTGGAAACAAATCAAAATATGAAAGAAATCAATAGAACGAC